TGACCTTATAGGAGAGTTAGACCAAAATACTATAAAACCTCCAGCTATCTGAAGAAAAGTTATTGGTGAAGGTGGAGATGGCAATGAAACCTGTACCCACCCACCCCCTCCCTCCTCCTCACGGCCTACATTTGTTACACCACCCCACTCCTCACTTTTATTGCCTTCGAATGGCCTACATCATTGGCTATCATATAAACTTCCAGCAACCAATATACATGTTAGCTTAAGGTTAAACTGTGGACGACCGTTTAAATGCTATCAAAACATTGATGAAATAATTGCATTTCAAGCAGGGGCATGGTTTTTGAAGATAGGTTTGCAAGCAGTGAAAAATTATACGATGTGCCCCTAAAATGTAAATGTCTCCCAGATTACCACACTTCTTCACAAACTAAGCGGGAGGAATGAGCCCTGGACTGCGCAAAAAGTTGGAAAATCCTTGATTTGAGGATCTATATAACAAATAACCATTCTCGATCACGATACGAGCAAAAATGGCATAAATTGGCATCTTAAAATTATTATCACCTGATGCTATTGTCCTTCATGAGAAGGGTCCTCAGACTCCCGCATCAAAGCTATTCGGTGTCTTGAAAAGAGCGGTTTGAATAGTCACAGGTCAATTTCTACCTTGATCGAATCATCGGGCCGACTTATCCTGAACTGTCAACACCTCTCGTCGCTGAGGATAGGATGTTGAACCGCGGCACCCCCAACGAAGTAGGCAAGGCCAAAAATTAAACACTATGCAGGTTTTCATGACACTGCAATGCGAATGCCACTTGCAAAATTGCAGTGCATTGTAAGTCACGGATCACCTCATATCACTGGCATTGCAACGGCTGGAACATGCCCCTGTGGCCAGATGAATTCTCATGTCAAGATTTTGGACGCGTGTAAATCGACTCAGGAGTGCATCTACACAGAACAGCTCCTCTGCTTAAATCCACTACGAAGTGGATTTACACAGGATGCCACCCCTGTGTAAATCGACTCAGATCTGAGTTGATCTACACATAAACGCACTGTTGTGTAAATCCACTTGTGAGTAGATTTACACAAGCGTGGCTTCTGGAGTAAATCGACTCAGATCTGAGTGGATTTGCACAGGAGCGCCGTTCTGTGTATATACACTCCGGAGTGGATTTAAGCAGAGAAGGTGTTCTGTGTAGATTCACTCATGGCGTGATATACGCAGAAGCGCCATTCTGCGTAACTCCACTCGCGAGTGGATTTGAGCAGAGGTGTTCTGTGTAGATGCACTCATGATGGATACACACACCCGTGAATAACATCGCGATGTGATCTGCGCAGGCGACAGAACGTATTCAACGCAGCGAACTGGCGAACTGATCTATGACTTACCGAATAAGGGAAAGGTGTGATTTCAGCAATCAAACATGCGCACAAAAGCTGAAAATATGCATTTGCCCATGCATAGCTCATTTTTGCATCACTGAAGCTATACATCTGCGTACTTCATTGAGAACATACCGTCCAGAGAAGCGAATACATATATATATATATATATATATATATATATATATATATATATATATATTGGAATATTTTGGCAGAATTCTTTCTTAGATACATGTTTGATTAAAAATAACTACTGACTCAGCATTAACGAGCTTTTTGATGCATCGTTCTAGTTTCCGGGCCTTTGACTTTGCGTCATCGCTTAGATTAAATATGGTTCGCACAAAATTACTCATATATTCATCACTCCTTCCATTCTGACGTTTCGAGATCTTATCTCATCTTCGGAGAAGACTAAATTGCACATGAAATAAGTTTTGAGTTTTGAAGGATGAAAAAATTGTGCACTACTGTTGGAAAACATCTTTTAGTACGGAGAACATAAATGAAGCACAACTAATTGAAGTAAGACGGATCGCTATTTTCATCTTCATACGTGTAAGAAACACTCATAATGGGAACATCACAAAGACACAATGGGAACACTATTGTCACTATTGTCTAGAACGAGGCATCAAAAAGCTCGTTAATGCTGAGTCAGCAGTTATTTTTAATCAAACGTATATATATATATATATATATATATATATATATATATATATATATTATATATATATATATATATATATATATATATATATATATATATATATGCATATATAATATAGTATGCGTGCGTTTGCGCGTGTACATGTGTACGTGCCAGGAAAGGTAGATGCTGAACTTGTCATATTGCTTACAAGGCACGCCATGCAGCATCGCATGCTTGCCACACGGTGCTTTGCAGTGTGCGGCTTGTATCCAGTCTTAGTAACGGGTGAGGGGTGCGGAGGGCTCCTAAAGGGGCTCCTTGATGGTGAAACCCCCCCCCCCCCCTCTCATACACACAAATTCGTTAGCTTTGGCCAATGCATTTCCACCGGCATGATTTTGTGCGTGTTTTATGCATTTCTAACTTTCTTCACTGGGGCAAGAAGCCATGAAAGGTACTGGAAAGCAATTTGCTGTCTGTATTTTGTTGCAGGCAATAATTAACAGAAGGGAGGTGATGTTAGATGACATACAAAATAACGCATCGGTGTTATTCCTTTTAAATTGTTAAGCTGGTTTTATCCAAAGGGATAGACCTTAGAGCTTTGCCAAGCTTTTCTTCTGAGCTCTGCAGAGATATTTATGACCCCGTGCACGTTGAGTGTAGATGGAAATGGGGTCAGCGATGTTTTCACCTTGGCTAACCCATGTTCGCCTAGGGATGTTAAACGTTCTGTCAGAATTTATTAGTGATGTAAATTATGTAACAGTGTTTAGGATACGCACTTCAAGTCTTATAAGCCTTATCCAATGCTGTGATTACATCTCCTCATGCAGTAATGCATCTTCGCCCAGAGTTTCTATGTGGCAAGTGTATCCTCGATTTCAGAGGTCTAGTTAGGTCACTTCCGGTGAACCTAGGGTCTTGTAATTAACATCTGTAATAGTACTGAGCATTCAAAGGGCAATGGCAAAAAATGCCCGACCCTAGCCATTATATTTTCGAATGGGACTACTTGAAGTCATCTCTGGAAAAACAGACTTAATTTAAGTAGCGCTCCACTGGGCGGGAAAATCGCAATGATTGAACGTTGAATAGCGCGGTAGGTAAAATGGAGAAATGTATGGAAGACTTCGTTAAGTCCTCACTCAAAAAACAAAAACAAATTGGAACAGAAATCGGTAAACCCAAACTTGGGCCGTACGTACGTTCATGCCTATGCAACCTACATTCTGAATGCAGTTCGGTACATTAACTGAACGTAGTACCGTGAAGTAACCCAACTGAAGCTACTCAACTGATTCACACGCGGTACCAATATGGGTGTTTGACATCCAGATCAGTCTTTCGTCTGTAAATTCGAAGTCGCTCAACTTGGTGCTAACTTAAAATCAAGAACTTCACTTCTGCGTAACGTTATGGGAAACGCTTTGTAGGTTTAGGTCATTTGCAGACGTCTGTGCCGAAAGAACCTCATGGTTAAAGACAGTCATTGGCGGTACCTAATGAGGGTTCCGCCAATAATAAAATGCTATAAATATTCTCTACGTTCTTCTATCTTCTACCTTCGGCTCTTCACAAATATGTCTTCCGTGAAATCGCTAGCATTTTCGTAGGCACATCAGCTTTGCCTGCTTTGTAAAAGACACACGAAAAAGTTGTGTGCATGCAGCTGTCGTCCAACCTCGGTACCCATGATCCTCGGTCACTCAACCGAAAACGCCCTGGACGATGCCGCTGAGTGAGCTGTACTCGGATTGGGGTTAAGCACGTCGTGGCTGTCACGTTCGTAAACTTCAGCCGTCCCTTTAATGTATTGACCATGGCGTAGATCCGATAAAGCTGCAGTGATATTGTATTGATCCGAATTGGTTTGGGAGTTACCTTGCTGGTCGAAGGTGGGTGGTGAGAAGCGGAATCTTTCTCTTCTGTCGATTTACGGTGTCCCTTAGCGATCCTTGGTTAACCCTATCCTCTTCAGTATTTTGGCGAATGAATCTCTATCTTATCTCCTTCACGAATATCTGGTATCCTGTGCCGACCACACCCAACTGCTGGACTCTACACATCCAGACCAACCACCCGCTTTGAAATCACGACAGGAGGAAACCATTCAAGTAGTTAATTCCTTCTTCACGTCTAACTCTCTTAAAATGAAGCCGACCAAAAGAGCTATTCTTCCCGGCACTCCACAATCCTGAAAGGAAACCTTATATTTTCACCTGGGCAGTGCGTGACACCAATTGAGCCCTTCGTCGCCCATGAAGGTGCTGGGGGTCCAATTGCAGGTACCTTTTCTTGGGAGATGTTCACATCCTACGTTAAAATGCGCAGCCCCATCCTTTTCCGCTTGCATAAAATCCGCCACACCCAACCATATTGGCTGTTTGTGACGAATCACAATGAACAAATTCCACCACAATCCACAATCAACAGATTCGTCACCCGAGGTTCGTAAATCTATCATCCAGTCCCATGTTCTCATCTTCTGTACTGCCTCTCGGTCTGGGGTGTGGCTGCAGCGCATCACCTGAATAGAGTGCAAGGGGTGATTAACCGTGGGGCCAGGATCGTCACCGATGCTCCTCAGCAAGATCCAATGGCGGCGACCGTTCAAGCGCTTGGCTGGCGCGGTGACCTAGTCATTCCCCGTGGCAGCATCGCTGTGTTCAGGGCCCTTAATGACTCGTGGGTTCCTTTGGAGATTCGGTCCCTGTTCACCACACGTACAGCTTTACGCCAGCGTGTTACCCGCGCGGCAGCGATGGGCGCCCCGGGTCTGCCAGCCCTCACCTATCGACAGCACGCAGGTCTTTTCGTATTTACGCGGCCTCATTCCGCTGCCGCCGACCACCACCACCTCTTACGCCTACAATGTGTTTTGCGTCAGTCTGAGCGATGTAGACTGCCCTGTTGTGTAATCATTGCTTGTTTACCGCTTCGCGACATATTCTGACGGCTTAAATTTTGATACGTAATTTATTGTTGGCCAAGTTGTTAGAACGAAGGGACGATTGATATCGTGCGAATCTAGTCGCGCCGTTTTTAAAAAAAATATTGCACCAATACTACTGTTGCAATCGTACCGAGTCAAACAACCCAGCTGTCTGAATAATTTGTGATTGAAATGAGCGTGAACATGACCCAGCCACGCATTCGCAATGAGAGGTGTCATTAGAGCTGCCAGTGGTCTTCGCATACCGATGAAACTCACAAGAGATTTGATGGATTTCCTCAGGCGTATTTGTGGATACGTGGCATTTTCACAACGCGCTATAATCACTTCAGCAGAGTTGGTTAGCTTTAAATGTATTTAAGTATTGAGGTCAATGACCTCCATGGGATAACCACAGCCTTGGAAGGTACACGACATGCAGTTCTGGGCACGCAGCCGTATGAGCTTATCACAGATGCATGCCATGAGAAGAAGCAACCATGTCACAACAGCGCAGGTATTTTACCGCATTGGAGCGGCCAGACATGCCGCGCTATGTCAGGAAAACTTTCTCACATGCCAATAAATCCCGTACACTGACAAAGGCACACCCTGAGTGCTGAGATGCATGGAAACCCACCACGACGCACAATCATCAACGTTCTTCTTGACTAGATTCAAAGCGTGCGAGCACAACCAGTGTCAAAAAACATCAATAACAACCATGGCTGAGAATTGTTGAACGCACTAAGCAATTATATAACAGCGGCCCGACACAATGAATAAGTAGCCAAAGCAATGCTCTCATGTTGGTATTTTTAAAAACACATTCTCCTTAGCGGTCACTGGTTAAACTAGCACAAAACAAAATTGTACATACATTTGTATGCGTCTTCCTCGCATGGGGCAAGTATATAATTACCCAGTCAGTTCTCGCATATGTAGAACTGCCGACGAAGAACGCATCAGACATTTGACGAGGCTACTTAGTTCACTTCAGCTACTTAGTTCAGGTACACGACAGATCTAAGCTCGTTCAACGTTCATTTCGACTAGTGAGGAGGTAGTGCAAGGACATCCAGGGACGCAGCAGGTTGGACGTAAGCAACCATTGCTTGGTGAGCGGTGCTATTTAACAAAGCTTATCCAGTCTGGCAACAATCAACACAGATAGTCGGAAACGCTTTCCGCCTTTTAGAGTCTCTGGATGGGCTTGCAATACTCATATATGTACATGAAGATGTATCTTGGCAAACTAGCTATTCCCATCATGGCATGCAAACGAATATAGATATCGAGCATGTTCTCTACAATAGAAGAAGCCTAAGAGCTCTACAGGTATCCGGGAAGTCAAGGCGTTTCCGATGAACGAGGTTATGTCAAATTCATGGAACACCGTGACCACGCGGTGCATGATGATGGCGGGTTTAAAGCCGAGTACGTGGACGGTGTAATCCAGCGTTCCCACCATACACCGCTGCTGTTCAGTATTCTGAACAAAAAAAGGAACACGTTAAGAAAAACTTACATCAAGACATGGTACGAACCCAGCAGAAACATTATGAACTAGTTTCACGCCGTACCATGTGTTATTGATCGATACAAGTTAATCACGACCGGAAACGCACCGCATATGAGCCGGTCATATTTCCCGACTCATTACTGTTCGAGACGTGGTTTTACTAACAACTGTCAATGAAAGGTCGTATCAATTCACAACAAGCAAGCTTACCTTATTTCCTTGCTGATCCCACGACTGTGGTGACGCTGCCTTTAGGACGCAGGCAGGCGACGATTTTCTGGCTGCAGCAGAAAGCTTGCCTTCGACACCGGGTGGGAATGCTCCAGTGAGATGTCCCTAATCTCTAAACGCAATGACTTTTCCAGAAACACTAGGATGCTTACGGGACAGCCGACTTTTTCGGTTCTCGTGTTTCGGACACGACGATCACCGGCTTTGCTTTCGTACTGGCGCCCACCATGAGTGCATGAAAATTTAATGAGACGGTACTTTTTCTGCTGCAAAAGCGCCTCCTTGTCAGCACGGTCAGCGATCAGCTTTTAAATGAAGTGCCCAGGATTTGTCTGAAGAAATTTACCAAGAGTGACAGAGCTCGACTTCACATTCGTCACACAAAAACTTCACATTCGTCTCGGCCTCCAATTCACGGATATGGGCATCTAGCTCATCAAAGGAATGAAAACAGTCACCTTTCCTCAACACAGCCATCTTCTATCTTTTGTTGAGATGCTATACGTCTGAAAGATAGCGAAGTATGTTAGCTAAGTGCACTGCCCAGTAATGTCCACAGACATTATGCACAAAGCACAACCAGCTAGTTTGCCAGCTGGCATACCAAGAACCACAAGGAGGCAGGAATATTAGGTCAGACCAGCAGGGATTCCAGGTCAGATCATGAGGAGTCACAGGTCAGATCATGAGGAGTCACAGGTCAGATCATCAGGATTCACAGGTCAGATCATCAGGAGTCACATGTCAGATCATCAGGGGTGCCAGGTCAGATCATCAGGAGTACCAGATCAGATCATCAGGGGTAAGAGGTCAGATCATCAGGGGTACCAGGTCAAATCATCATGATACCAGGTCAAATCATCAGGGTACCAGGTCAGATCATCAGGGGTACCAGGTCAGATCATCAGGGGTACCAGGTCAGATCATCAGGGGTAGATCTGGTACCCACCTCCTGGTGGCCTGACCTGGTAATTCTAACTCCAGTAGTCTGATCTGGTGACCCCACACACTGATGGTCTGATCATCAGTAGCACCAGGTCAGACCACCAGGCACAAGGCACCATGCCAAACAAGCAGGGGGCATGGGTACCAGGTCAGACCAGCTGGCAGCAGCAGTGCCAGGTCAGACCATCAATAGTTGGGGTACCCTATCAGGTGGCAGGAATACCAGGCCCAACCACTAAGCACAGGGGTACCAGATAAGACCATCAGGGGCAGAGGTATCAAGTCCTTCTACCATATGGCACAAGTACCATGTCAGATCACCATGAGACAGCAGTATTATGCTACCAGGAGCACTGGTACCAATTCACACCATCAAGTTGTGGTACCGGGTAGGGCCACCAGGAGGAAGTAGTACCAGGTCAGACCATGGGGGGCAGGAGTGCCAGGTCTGGCCACCAGGGGCCAGAGTACCAGGAGGTAGGAGTACCTTGCCAGACTCTCAAGGGCAGTAATATCAGGTCAGGAAGCCCTGACCTTGAACTGCTGCTATCTGATGCATCAAAGGGGCCTCTTGAATAGAGAGTGCCTCTTAATCCAGTACAGGGCTTCCTGGCTTGTAACACAGCCTGCCAAGCCAGCAAAGGGCTCACCATAACACAACATTGGGCCTTCTGATCTAGAACATCAGGGGCCAGGGTGCCAGATTGCAGGAGTACTACATTAGACTATCAGGGGCAGAGACAAGAGCCAGACCATTAGTGCTATATGAAAAAGCTATCAAGGCTGTATACCACATAAAATGTTTAAAGCCTAGTTTGGCTCAACAACTGATGTATAATGCAGGGATCACTCAGCACACATTCAGCTTTTTTACCACTGCGGAGGATGACCAGGCCATTAAGTAATAATATTAGACAAACAAGGGCAATGAGGAGAGTCAACCCAATTTGCAGCCTTGATAGGCTATGAAAACAAACTGAAAAAGCCAGCATGTTTGCTAGCATATGGAAGCTGCATAGAAACTGGTCGCAGTCCGGGAAGACCTCTGTGATGGCGGACTTCTCAGCGTGATTCTTGTCAGTCAGCCACACCTACAGCTTTCTTACATATACATATATATATATATATATATACTAAACACTGCTTTTAAATAAGTTTACATGCATGCAAAGAGTATGTGAACAGTTGTGAACAACAACAATCATGTTTATTGTTTGCATTCTAACCTTAGTGGGTCCTAAAATGCATGTTGATGAAGCTAAGATCTCCAGTAACATCTTTCCTTGCCTCACCAGATCCAAATTTGCTTTTCAAACACAGCTGCTGTTTTCCCAAGGTTTTTAAAATTGATAAATACCTGTTTTTGCCCACTTGTTTTGTTACAATTGTGTACCTCGCTCACAAGATATCTCCTTGCCAATGCTAGATTTTGAAAAAAAAACTTAATCATTCCCAGCTGTTACTTTACAGCTTTCAATACATTTTGTTAGAAGCATATATGTATTGGTCAAATCTTTTCTTAAACTAATACCACCTGATGTAAAATTATTTCCAGCATTTCAACAAAATCCATAGATTTTGATGAAAACACCTACCCAGTCTTGCTTTCAGCCAGGATGGGCCAATTCCTTTTCAAACCAGAAGACAGGCATTCAAAGAATCAGCTGAAGATCACCATTATCTTATACATAAGCACTGACATTCAATCAGCTGACAAAACCTGCTCCCATTTGGGACAAAATGTATAGGTACAAAGTATGTGCTACTTTTAATGAATTACCTAAATATGAAGTAGAAACAACTGAGGGAAAATCAGTCCAGCCTGCTGATGCTGACAGAGGGAATGGCACCATGGATTTTTGGTTTGGGGGGAGGATATTCAGGGGGCCTCCTAAGCAAAATGGGGCTGCCTCACAGGGGGCCTCCTGGGCAATGTTGTCTCAAAAGTTGAAGGAAAAGGAAAATTGCAGGCATATGTTCTTTTACCAAACTGTTATAAGCATTATATCCAGGTAAATAGATGCTGACAATAAAACAAACAGGACCTTATAATTTTGCAACAAAGGGCATTGGTACCATACAACATGCCTTCCTGGCACTGGGCGCCAAATGACCACCGCAGTCGGCGCGCCCCTAAACTCCAATAAACAACAACAAAGGCCTCCTGGCATGTGAAAGGGCTTTGTCACCAAGAACAGCATACTTTCAATCCACAAAAGGGGTCTTCAAAGTTTAAGGAAATCCTAATTTGGAACTGCTGCCATCTACCTGTCTGCCGGCAATGGGAGGGGGGGGGGGGGGGCGGCGACAGCCCCTATGCCATTGCTGCGTCGCCCCTGGTTGAAAGCACCCTGATTTTGACCAACACCTCGTCTCTGGCCAAGCCTACCTATTTAATGAAATTACTTTCATTGATCTGTGACTCGATTCGATATGCACATGTCTTCATGCACGCACAATATGCACATACCTTCAATCCTGATTTGTGGCGCACCACATCCACCCTCACCCGCAACTCGACACGCCCGGCGTTCAAAACCGCGCGTCGGTGCGGACACGGTCGCAAACGCAGGCGAGTGCGCATGCGCAAACGTGACGTCACAAATCTCACTCGATTTACACAGTGGTGTAGCTGTGTGTAAATCGACTCGGATCCGACGTGATTTACACAGAAGGGCCGTTTTCAGTAAATCGACTCATGAGTCGATAAACACGCCCCCCCCCCCAAGATTTTTCAGTACTTCATGCTGTCTAGTTCGGGACATTGAGCGTCGTCCGTCAAAAGCAGCGAATCAGCCGGCCGGCCGGGCCGTAGGAAATACGCTGATTTGTCGCTGACCTGTCACCGAGTCGGCCGACCAACTAAAAATTATAGAATATGTTTATCGCCGGGTTGGAATAGTACTTAATAGCACGGAGTAGCACATGTGCTACCCCGTGCGCGGCAGGGAATGCTAGCGTTTGGTTGTTGAATTGTTGAGTTTCTGAATCTTATTGAGTATGGTTGGACATTTTCGATTTTGATAATGATTATTATAACTGCCAACGCCTTGACATAGCTGAATTGAAAAATTATGGTACAACATCAGATTCACACCACAATTTTCGCACGCCGGTCGCGAGTTATGCAAAAATCGTAATTTAAAGCTTTTCTGCTTCACACGGGGCGCTGTGCCCCATACCCCAGCACAAAAAAGATTGAGTACATGATGCAATTTGGCCTAACGACATCGCACCCAAACCCTGCAACTGGATCCATATGTTTACCCACGTAGCCGGATGTTTACCGCCCCATAGGCAAGAAGCATATATGTTTGTCGTTTGGAGCAGTCCATCTATTAACACAAGAGCATCCTTCCCTCATAATGACAAACCGTGTTTGTTCTCACCGCCAGGTAACTGTTGAGTGGGTAAACTGCTGAGTGGGTAAACGATGCCGCGCAAAGATTTCAGAACTTAAACTGAAAGCTCCGGAGTACGGAAATGACCTTAGTTATTCATAACTATCTAGTTACCGTCCCCCACAACCAAAAATACGTGGGACGTATCGGACCACGCATGGTAGCCATACATCACCGAAGCAGCTGTATTCCTTGTTCAATTCTGACTACAAAATGCGTGACCACTACGCCGCTAAAATTAAATACTTTCTTTACTTATATGAGATTTTAAATATGAATTGCCTGTGGTCAAAATAAGATGGACTAAATCCGTTGAGAAAAACTGTGGGAGGTTAGGTATCCGGGTCGTCGGCCTGGTCCCCAATCATTTACAAAAATTGATCCCCTGGACAAAGGAATGCTGGGCCAAGGAAATGGAGACGATTCTCTGAAATGCTGATGCACTTGGTGCCTGGAGCAATGGAAAATTTTCTTCGTAAAGTTTGGGGGCTAAATCCTAAGTTGAGTGTGTGTGTGTGGGGGGGGGGGGGGGGCTGGAGCCTCACTCCCAACTGAACAGGGAACTACATCCCTGACCTGAAAACATCATGAAAAGTTTCATGCCAATTTTGTAACCCCCCGTTTCCTGTAGGGTCCTAACATATTGTTGGTATTTCAACTTATTTATATGTCAGGACAGTCTGCAAATATCAGCAGGTTTGTCACAAGATAACACCTGGATTGGGACAAACAGGACTGCCAAATACGGCAGCTTTCAAGCGTACGATGACTGGTTTAAGCTATAAGGATTTTATAAGGTCGGACAATTATTTAATACCAACGTTCCACTTCAAGACGGTTGTCCAAGCACCAAGGGCATTACTGCCATTTAGGCTCTCATATCCTGCCACCCGATACGCCGTACCGTGCTGAGGGCTGCCCGAAACAGGCAGCCGTAAGGTTTCCATAAAACGCACTAGACAAAAGTATTGAACGAAACTTATAGACGGGTGGCAGGCTTACCACGACTAGAAAACTCTTTCTGAACGTGTTAAATTATACGATGCTGCTTAAAAAGTATATCAAGCTGCTCAAGGCCTAAGCGCTAGAGCGTCGAAGCCCAGAAAGACGTCTGCTCGTTCAACCTTGGGGAAGAGATTACGCCTGTGCAACATTTTCCATGTCCTGAGAACCACGTGGTCTTCTGCAGCTGTTATGATTTCCACTTTAACCCTCGCCGGGAATCGCCGTTTTTCATAACACTGACTGATCAGGATTGATGCACCACCTTGACGTTTCCAAGCCGTTAACGATGGAGTTTAGCACAAAAAACGAAAAACAGCAGATTGATCTCAAGGATATCTCGCCATTGGTACTAACTTTATGTTGTTAGGTTGATAATTGGCCCCACTATGCGAAGTCAAAGGACGAATTTCAGTACCAGTACCAGAATCACAACATTGAGAACCATTTGCAAGGTGGCTGTTACAGTTTCAGTCCACGGGCATTTTGAAATTGCATACTAAAGGGTGCAGTACAAAAGGGCGCACACTAAATTTACATAAGAAAATGATAACGTGTGAATGTTTTAAACGCGCTTAGTGTTGTGACATCACAGGCTTACGATGGCAGGCCTTTCCAGGCAGCTTCGGCCCGATGCGAAGGGCTTTCAGTTTGGTAGTCGATCGGTGCCTGTGCAGGTGCAGATTATCTCTGTCCGAGGCAAGCGTTTCACGGATCGAAACAGCAGCGCGTGGGACAAAAGCGCATGAATCTCGTGAGACGCGCCTACGTCCTTCAGCGCCCTAAACACGTTCATCATACCCATGGGACCATGCATCGTAACGACACCTCACCTAAGGACTTGTGTTCCTTGTTCAATCCGGGTACAAAAGTGTATAATCTTATGTGTTTTGAGTATATCCTTATGATTCTAGCTGCGTTAAAGGGAATTTTCCACATTTGAAAATATTGAAACAAACATCAGATATGATGAAAGGACTTTACTTGTGGCCATTAGCATGTTTCTAAGTGAAAAAGAATGAAAAGAAAATATCGGACCACCGCGCGCGTTCCGCAGCATCGACGGTTGCCGCCCGCAACCCTCGCCGGCCATAGATAGCCATGTCGTGGTTCTCAAAATCGCCGCTGGTCTGACACCAGAAATGGATGGCGTGCATTGTTCTTGAAAAAAACGCCACTGCTCTGAAACCGGAAAGCTAGCAATTCGCGCCTGGTTTGGAAACACGTGCAATAGATGCCCAATAGGCTGCTGAAAATGGGATTGCGATTACACAGCAAGTCGGACGGAAGGCAGTCACATCGACCCCCCCCCCCCCCATCCCCTATCAAGGCGAGATTTAAAGTTGGTATTCGTTGCATCATGCTTCATTAGCCTCAAAAATACGTTAAGGGGCTCAAGTCTGCACTGGGGGTGGGGAACGGACTCATCCCGCTAGGACGTGTGCAAAGTGACGCCCTTGCTGGCCCCACCCAACCTTTTGAAACGTTCCCACGCTTATGAGCCCCAGCCACCCGATTTTAGAAAGTAACAACCCAGGTGCTTTGCTCCTCGCTAATGTTGCTGGCCAGACCCCCCCCCCCCCCCTCCCTACACACACGCACACACAACAGCACGTCAACTGCGACGGTAGTGAGAGGGGAGACTAGGACTGTGCCCCCCAGTTTCCACAAATAGTGATTTTTGCCTCTCCAATGTTGCATCAAAAATGCCTCTTCCACGTTTCTTTTGTAAGTTCCGCTGTTTGGTGCCTCACCTTCGACTCACGGGTGCGCACGGTACGTCCAAAATCACTTCTGTATTCGACACTCGTCACAGGTACTCGTCACAGTACGTCTCGCCGGCACGTTCGTCCTCGCGTCGGCGGCTCTTAGAATCTTCTCCTTGTTACTGCCTCCTTTCCTGCCCCCCGCGGCCGAGTCCCTCGCACGGGGCAGGAGGACGGGAACGCGATTGCCTTTAAGCGGCGCTCGCCAAACTACGCAAACGTTCACTGGCTAGCACATAGGTGTTCTCTGACGCCTTATATTTTCACATTTTTATGCCATTTATAGGTCCGGTTGCCCGAAAGTTGGGTTTCAAGCTGCATTTTGACGGTTCCAATCCTCATTTATGTTCCCAGTCAGGAGCGTTGTTTCACAAATTGAGCCGGAGAGCGGAGGGGCGGGAAGTGAAAAATGACGCATCTTATCGTCGAGGTAGCTAAAACGCGGAATTTTCCCACTTTTTTTCTCGCAAAATTGGGAGGGGACTGACGTATCCCCCCCCCGCCAACTGAAAACAAAACAGCATCCTTGCTCTCAATCCCTGAAACATGACTGTACCCGTGTCGACCCCATTGTTGAAAACATTAGAGAGGGGTCCCAGTATTTGTTCTGTGTCCCTTCCCCTTCTTTCCAAATTAAAGCTTCGGCCTCCAACACTTTTTACGGTGTTCCACCCCTGGTCGCGAGAGCTGGTGTACGAAGGGTCCGCAACGGGCATCTGTGAGTGCAGGACGATTGCTGGTAATGCAGGGGCAAATGTTCCAGCTGCGAGATAGCTTCCATTTCTAAACGCAACAAACGGTCTACTTATATTTACTAAATATTTCTACTCATGCTCACTGGACAGGATTTTCTTCTTGTCTTTCCATTAGTCACATATGGCACAAATCAACTTTGCTACCAAATTGGCAGCGCGCCACTAAGGGTAATGCGTTAGATAGACCTGGTTCGTGTACAACGTGTGGGTCTTTTGCCGCGCGCTGAGCGGGAGTGGGGTAGCTGCCCATTCAGCTGGTGGACTACAGCAAAATTTAAACAGTCGCCCTCATAGGCCATGAGAATGGCGGACGACGCTCAGTTTCAACAAATTCTGGGAGGTCTGCTCAGTGAAGAAAATGAAATTAGGACGCAAGCTGAGGTAACAGCTGAGATAGCTTGAGCCGAATGCGCCATAACACACGTGCCCCATGTCTTATGTGTGGCCTTGGCTGGTTTTCATGTGGTGAATTCTCAAGCTCTCTTTGCTATGTCACCAACTGCTTTATCGGCAATGAATTTCTACATGTCATCAGCTGTCCTTCACAGAAAATTATGCTTCTTCAGCTGAGTGCATTGAATTTGTAGGGAACAGGATTATCATTAGCAACTTCATGTGGTACTAGGACAGACTGCTTACATATATACTCCTCAGAATGTGTTGGGCATTGCAGCAATATTATGGCAAGTTATAAGTGCAGATATGGTGTTAATCTGAGCTTTTGGAGCTTGGTGCATAGTCATTGTTAACTGCAGGACATAGATACCAATGCTGCCAGGACTCTGTATGTTTGAAAGGGAATTTCTGGCAGAAGCACTAAAAACTTCATGAAATCATGATGTGGGAATTTTGCATAGGTTCCCTGGCTGTAGTTTGACACACAAAAGTGTGAGGTTCAAGATACTGATTTTGTGCAAGCTTCAGGTGCTGATCATATTCAAGTTTTGCTTTCTAATCCTTATTCCTGCTAGTGCATTCTTGAAATAGCCATTATGCCAGCACTTGCAATGTTTTGCTGTAATTTTTGCTGTTTTTATGTTACAGTCTAATTGGACCCTGGGTGGCGGAAAGGGTTTACCACATCAGTTTATGTCATGGTGTGTTGTAAAAGAGTCTTGCTAGTGTCTGTCAGTACTTGCCACTAGCAATTTGGTCAGCTTGTTCTAAGTGACAAAGCAAGCTTTGGAACCATTGTAACTAGCTGCTTCCAACCTCATCTTAATATATGTTGTGCCAAGGCTTATAGTTGGGTTATACACTCTTCTTAAAGAGAAATCAAGATGGAATTTGACCAGTTGGCCTATTCTGGCAGACCTGAACACTGCATAAAATCTTGCTGCAGGTGCACCAGAAAACCCCAAATAATTTATTCACACATAATTAAATGTGCAAGCAGTATGTATAAAGCAAGCTAATTTCATATACACCATATTTGTACCCAATTTTTAACATGATACTGAGCCATTTTGTTAACCTAGGACTTGTTAGTGCCAATTTGGCTCTTAACTATTGATGTGTATTATTTTCTTGCAAACATGGAAAGGTCAGGTCTGATATTGAAATTGTGTGATCTTGAATTGCAAGATTATATATATATATATATATATATATATATATATATATATATATACATATATGTATATATATATATATATTGAAATTGTGTGATCATATATATATATATATATATATACACATATATGTATATATATATATATATATATATATATATATTGAAATTGTGTGATATATATATATATATATATATATATATATATATATTATAGATCTGCTGTTTCCCTTAGAGTCTTGTTTTTTGAAGCATTTTTTGATGGTGCACTTGACCTCTATTGCATCCTTCGATGCCAAGACCAGGCTTATTAGGCTGCATGGTTGTCTCAAATGCCACAATGTCACCCATGTGTTAATTGCTTGACTTTTCGAAGTAAATGCTTCATCATTGTTCTGAAAATGTTAGTTTACCTGGGAGGTTTGCTTGTTTGTTTTGTTTTTAATTTGTCTGGAAATTTTATAAGGTCTTTTATATCTTGAAATGTTTTAGTCATTTAGATTTTTCCTTAATGCACAAAGATTAGTTACCAATAGATTTGATGGAAACAAATTGTTGAAAAAAATCAAAGGCATGCTAATTTTAGACATGTGCTTTTAAATGTGAACTGGAAGCCAGCAGCATCAAGCTGGAAACATGAAGCCAATGCCAAGCTCATCAGTTCAGAATTTTCAGGCTGAAGCTGAATTAAGTGAATGGTTGCAGAATCAAGTTAGTTTTTTGTTCCTGCATACTTTGCATGGAGTCAGGGAATGCAAGGGTGTTATGGATTGATTGAGAAAAGGTCTGAAAAACTGTCCACCTGTCCACCTGTCTGAAAAATGTCCACCCCAAAATGCATTAAACATGGTGTTTGCCCTGAATGTGACACAGCTTTGTATTCCAGAGGAATGGTAAATAGGGCCTATGATTGAATAAAAGCTACATCCCTGACCTGGTGTTTCCCAAAACATGGTACACCATGCACTGGAAAGCTGATGTGAGGGTTTAGTGCCATATGCCTACATACTGAAACCCAATCCCTCCAAAAAATTATCCCTGTCATTTGGATTCTGCAACCAAAACTGCAGGCTTTACTCATGTGCCTGGCACTACTAGTCAATAAAATAGCATAATGCAATCAATTAGTTATTTTCATGTGACCACCACAAACTTGTAATAGTAGTATTGTCAGTCGGGCTTTCCTCCTAAACCGCTAATTGTTCCTACATCCCTGCTACATGTTCACTCATTTTGCACTCCACAGCTAAGTATTGGCAGTGGAAGGTATAGTGTGCATGCTTAATGCAGCTGTTCCACATTTGCATGGAGTTTTGAACTAAAGTACCCATCTGGAAGATTTTTGGTGCAGCTCACAGCCCTGTCCTTAAGATCTAAACTCCTCCAATTTCGAGCTGCCTGCTTGTAAAGGCATGCATTCTACTTTGGGGAAACCATTTCAAGGTCACCTAGGCATCCACAATGCAGTAACATCATTCAACTCCTCTCATCCCCATAATCATGTAGCAATCATGGCCCATAAAAATACAATTGTTGATTTATTCATATGTAACATTTGTGAGCATGACATTCATATATAACTGCTGTCGGTTGGCTCACAATCAGTGTTGTCCAGGGTGTGGTGATCAAAAATCAAAGAAAATGATACAATGATAATCAAAGAATGACATATTGAGGAACATATTTGTGAAACAGAGAACTTGTGCTGTCTGGAACAGTTTTTCCATGAAAAGCATTCCAGGAGTTTGAAGTTGTTATGTCATCATATCTGATGCATCAATATCTTGAAATGTGGAACATTTCCTTTAAGGACTTTGTCAGTTTTGCAGTATAGGTAATGACAGGCATACATTTCTGTAGCCTAAGATTTGTTGTCAAGCACTAAATGGCACTTATAAGTCATTGCAGAAGAGGTAATGTCATGTGTAAGTAATGACTATAATTTGCAGTCAAAGTAATGAAGGCTATAGCTTTTTGAAATATAGGGATTATGATGCAGCACTGCATGATGGCATGCTGTACTGCATGTGTATAAGTCTGCAGGTGGCATGAGGTCCTGTATCAGTTATGGTTAATTGAGTTTCTGACTGTAGAAGTATTGATAGACGTAAGTTTTGAACCATAAGTTTTGTCATGTAGCACTAATGAATTGTATGATTGGGGTGCCGGTAGCGTAGTGGTTAACGCGTCTGCGTTAGCCACTGCGCGTCTGGGAAACCAGAGGTACGGGGTTCGATTCCCCGCGGTGCCCGCCCTTCCTGCCAGGGTGAGAGGCAGGCGACGCCATATAGCCTCAGAAGCTGAGTGCGTCATAAAACCCAAATCACGACGAATTGTATGACTCTTGGCTGTGGAAGTAATGCTGTGTGTAAGTAATGGGAGTAGGTTTTTGCAGTGGAAGTAATGACTACCATATTTTCATGATTTTGGTTTGCCTGTATCACTGATGTCATTCATGATATTGGTGGTATAAATAATTTCATAGCACTTATGTCAGTAGAAGTTCTTCTGTGTAGCATTAAATGTTGTGGAGCTTAAGGAATAATTGGGCTGTGGCACACAATGAGAGGGTCTGTGCTATGGCTATGCACAGGCACATATTAGCCACTGCGAGCAATGTCCACCCCTAATATTTGTGTCAAAATATTACCAAAACCATAAATCACTGCCAGTTCATTTATTCCACCCACCCACTCTGATAGGTAGGTCTGGGCAGATTCGTAGCCAGGCAGCTTACTACAATGCTGTTTGTGAGCTAATATGCAAATGCTGCATCAGTGGACCTACATCTGTTACCTTTTTGTGCAGGGTGGACCTTCCAAAATGTTGGTCAGTGATATTGGAGCCCCATTGGTGGTGGAAGTTAAAGGTGTTTTGCTTCATTAGCATATGTTTGATTATATTTACATGATGACAGTCTATAAGTCATGTCTCTTGTGATCTTACTTATCTTACACCACACACTGTGTGTTGCTTGTAATTTAGGTGCATGCAGCATATTACAACCTGATAGCAGCTCCAACTTACAGCCATTGGTATAGTGCATAAGTTTGCAGTTGTGAGAAGGATGGCAGCATAGGAAAAAGCTGGGTTGCAAGCTTTGGTAGCACTGTAACCAGAAGAAGGAGAGCATAGCTCAGTTTGTAGGGATTGTGTGGGCAGCACATTTCATTTAGATGGTGCTAGCACATGATGTCACATGTCTGTGGTTGGAATCTGCAGACATGTGTTTCTCTACCCTTCGCAACAGTCAGCATGGCAGATCATGGCATTGTTGAGCTCTGATGTTGTATGCATTGTGAAATGGCCCTGTTTAACTTTTCATCCATCAAGGTTACCCATATGTTGTTGCAGTTGGGCTGTCTGTGTATCAACAGCAGTTAGGAAGGGTCCTCGGATGTAGCTATGCTATGTCGTACTATGTCGCTGTGTCGAGTCGTACCACTTGCTGTTGACTTGTAAGCCCGTTCTGACCCCTGCAAACTGTGCCGGTTGCAGAGTACATACGAGCAGATCGCGCTGCCACAGAAGATCTCGCTGCTGCTTGCCTGTCTTCTGAATGCTTCAGCTGGAGAAAAGTACCGCGACATGTCGGCCGTCTTGCTGCGGCGGCTGCTTTGCGCCAAGTGGGAGGAGTTCTACCCAAATGTAAGTTCATCATAAGCTGCGCGACAGTGCACCCAGTGATACGAGGCGGCCATGCCCCCCCCCCCCTCCCCCCTAATGCTATTGGCTCATTTTATACCTCACACTTAGGTTTCCTTGATTAAGCTGAATTAGTACTGTCACATCCCATGTGGACTGCATCCAGCCCATGGGGGCAACTGTAGATTCAGATCAAAGGCAGACATCCACAGAGCCAACCGAAAGATGGTTACTTTTCAGTATGCTGGCTACCAGTTGCCTACTCCATCTTCACCTCCATTTAGCTGCTGTGATCGCAGTTGTCCGTGTGTCACACCTTACCTCCTCTGTGTGTGGCCTGTACTGCCTCTGTATCACACTTTCTGTACTGTCCCTGCTACACCACCTCTAACACCACTTCTGCCTCGCTGTCCCCACCTGACACCAGCCAATCTTCTGCTGCCTCCCCCATCCTCGCCTTTCCCACCGCGCCTGTCGCTAGCGTCTCGTACCCCGGCCCCATGCGCCCCCCCCCCCCCTATTCCCTGCTGCTCTCGTCCCACGCCCAGCCGGCGCCCGTGCAGCTGGCGTCTCGCCGCCGCGCCGCGCTCACGCGTCGCCCGTGGGCCGCAGCTGCCGGCGGAGGCGCAGACTCAGTTGAAGGAGCGCCTGCTTGCGGCCGTGCCCAACGAACAGTCGGAGGCCATCCGCAAGAAGATGTGCGAGGTGGCTGCCGAGGTGGCGCGCAACCTGTTCGACGACGACGGCAACAGCTTGTGGCCCGAGTTCCTCAGCTTCTTGTTCGAGTGCGCCAGCTCGCAGAGCGCTCAGCAGCGCGAGTGTGCCCTACTGCTGTTCAGGTCAGGCCGGGCGCCGCGGCGGCGGTCCGGACGGCGGGTGGAGGCGACGCTCGGGCGCTTGGATGACACGGGCGGGCCGTGCCGAGGGGGGCCCATGCGCCTTGCCGATGTCTGAGCTGTAGCTTCTCATCGGGACACTTTGTGCACTGACGGTTGGCTGTTGCACATCCTTCCTTGCTGACAAGTAGCCACTGCCGTGCGGATCCTCGGGGCCACTTTTAACTAGCGTAATCAGGGTTAACTTAAACCAGATTGTGGTTCTGACCGACCGGCCACGAGCTCCGTTTAGTGGATCCGACCGGATTTCTTTCTGACCAATAGCATCTATTAATACACCCATATCAAAACTATGACCTCATGTCGGAGCTGCTTACATGATTTTGTGGACGTGTATGTTATAATAACCTGTGTCGGGAGCAGACTGTGGTCCGAGTCTCTCAGCCTCAGCTGCGCGCGCATGGGTAGATGAAATATGATCGAACAAGAACACACGCTGCAGGGCGGTGGTCAGTCATTTGCTGCAGACTATAAAGTCTGGCGCAAGTCTAATGGGACGTGCACTTGGCGAAGCAGGGATGCATCTACACGCGTAACAGAGCGGCAATATGGACGGGACCCCTCACGTTTATGTCAATCGTGAGAGCCAGAGTGCATGATGCTTTGTGTTTGCTGTTGTAGCGTGTGAAATCGCTTTGCTGTCTACGAATAACGCGAACAGAGTAATCTTAGGCCGCTCCATAGTCGTGTCATTAAAGGACATAAATGCAAGCAATGCTGAGTGTTTGGGTATTAAAGGGGCACTACCGGAGGACTGGTTCAAACCCCGGCTGCGCCATGACCCAGGCCACGCCAACGCCGTAGTCGAAGGCTTTGGTAAAGGGGTTCGCTGTGATATAAGCCGTGTTCTATTATAGAAATTACTTGGGTCTCTTTCCTTCCATCTTAGGCGATTTTAACGATGTGGACACATGATTCGTCCGCTGGTCAGATCAGGGACACTTTCCGAATGTTCAACTCTCTGCTGTTTGTTCGCGTGCGGGGCTTATCAGAAGGTCCTCTTGTTTGTGCTTTTTTCAGGAGGGGGGAACAACCTACTCATTGAAGATGCGATTATCTTCAAATTACCACATTATGCCAAATTCAGCGTGTGCATTGTAGACTACGTGTCCCGACTTGGATGATGCAGACTGCCCTCCGCGAAACTTTGTGCCTCGTAACTTGCCGTTGGTGGTCGCCGAACGATGATGTCGCGAGGTTCCGTGGCGCCCTGTAACGTGACGGTGGTCACCGAGCGGTGGTGTCACGAGGGTCCGTGGCGCCCTGTAACGTGACGGTGGTCACCGAGCGGTGGTGTCACGAGGTTCCGTGGCGCCCTGTAACGTGACGGTGGTCACCGAGCGGTGGTGTCACGAGGTTCCGTGGCGCCCTGTAACGTGACGGTGGTCACCGAGCGGTGGTGTCACGAGGTTCCGTGGCGCCCTGTAACGTGACGGTGGTCACCGAGCGGTGGTGTCACGAGGTTCCGTGGCGCCGCTTTAGTTAGACACGTTGGATTTGTTCACAATCATTTAGGTCTGCTGCGTTGCATTTAAAGTGGACTTCGACGCACGCGGCCGTGGTTTGTGAGCAAGTTTTTGTCAGGATGAGACTGCAAACATCGGCTTTGGTCGGTGTGTGTTCATAGCTTGTGATGGAATATTTCAACGTGACGTGGATAGATGGTACGGCTGGGTGTCATTGAAGACTGATCTAGGCTGCGCGCGCCTTTTATGACACTGCCCCGGGCTTGTCGGCTCGCCCCGCGGGCGCACTGCCGAGGTGAAGGCTCTGGCTGCCATAGCCATGCATGAGCATGGTCTCACACGGCTAAAGTGAGTAGAAGACATTCCATTTTATAAGGAATGCTTTTGCTTGGTGCGTAATTTTTGCTCACCTTTGTCGAAAATTGGCGGTTGTTTTATCTTTGAATTAAACGTCCTAGGGGCTAATATCAACGACCATTTTGTGACTGTAGGGCGCTTTTTCTGGTCGACAACAAGCCTGACGCCATCAATGGCTTAGTTACGTGAAAGCCACCACCGGCGATCTTGTGTTTAGTCCCGAGTATTTACTGTTCGCAAACATTGCTCCCGACACCAGTAACCATGTGTCTCGTGAATTGGAATTGAGATAAAAGAGTGGAGGAACGATGAACACTATGCAACGAAGTAAAACCACAAAATAGCATGATGTGAAGTAAAACCAAACGGTGGAAGCGTGAATAATCAAAATATTTAGCAAGGCGAAGACTGAGAACCGGCAAACCAATTTCGGGCAGTATGTTTGGCACCTTCGGATTATCATAATAAGTGCGTGGCCTTAAGTACTTCAGTGAAGTATCGCGCGCCTGTCGAACTTCTCTGGGTGTGTTACTAATGCTCTGCTATATTGTCTATGTTTTAGTTATGTCCCCGGTGTGTTTGGAAACCAGCAGAAACGCTATTTAGAAGTAATAAAGAACATGCTGCAGCAGAGCCTGAGTGACGCCAGCAGTTATAAGGTGCGTAAGCTGTCAAGCCAGGAGAGCTTGTTGGCATGCACGAATGAACATTAGTGCTTAGTGTTCCCTGTTCGATTCGTGTTGCTGCCGGTATTGTGTTTGGCTGCTTCAGCCCTACAGGCCCGCTCTGGAAGTGATGATGTGGTGTGTTTTACTGCTAGCACACATACTCATCTGGAGCACCTAAGGGAATGGCGGGCCGGCTTGAAGCCTGGCTGTCTGCGAGAGGCGGGCACGCGTTTGATTGGCCCTGACTCCGCCCGCGGTCGCAGTGTCGCTTCTTGGCGTACAAGGCGACAGCCCAGTTCATCGTGGATAACGCCGAGCTATCGTCCGACAAGCCGGAGGTCAAGGAGAGCTACAAGGAGATCCAGCGGACGTTTGCTGACCTGCTGCCGCCCATGATTCAGGTGCGGGGTTGGTGGGCGTGGCAGCGCTCAGCTGACAGGCGGCCGCAGTTCCAGATGCGGTGTCAGTGGGTCAATCGGTTCGCTTTAAACAAAACGGCTGATGACATCCTTCATAGACGTATCGTACTCGGAGTTTATTTGTCGCTAGTTTTTCGTTGCTAGACCGTTTCTGCCGGTCTCGTTGTCGCCATCTGTAGGTTTTGGAGCAGCAACGTACTTTATATGCCTCTTAAGCACTCACAACAGATGTCTGCCTGCTCCGTGCCGAAGAGGACCAATTCGTGTTTGAGTTACAACAATATTATTGATGCACGTGGTGGATCAAAAACAAATATTTGTTATCCCATTTCACGATTGTTATCACGCGATATGGCCGCGTGGTCGAGATGTCCAAAAGCCCTGATCACTTACTACCCCCGTTCGCAAAGGGGCTTAGCGTCACGCGGACATTTCTCGTCTAGGTTTTGCCGTCATTTTCATCCGAAACACCAGCAAGAAGCTGGGGTTTGGCTGTACTTGCCTGTCGCTTTGTTTCACTGCGCAGTGCCAGAAGCCTCATCGCTTGTAATCGTATGGAACATGGGTGCACTTGCGTCATCCGAGTCTACTACGCCACTACTTTGAATCTGTGGTGGAGATAACGTTGCGTTATTTGCCACAGCTCGTTCACCTGAACGCTGGATATGAGCTTGTGGCTGCTGATGTGGCGGCTGTCCTACGCTTGATTGCTACGCGCGAGCTAATGGGTTCAAGCCTTGACTGTCAGGAACATGCCATGGGCGGGCCGTCGTGCCGGCTCCCTGTCGCCTACCGTTGGTCACGGCCCCCGCCTCCTCCCCCGAGTGCAGGTGCTGCAGGAGAGTATAGCCAAGGGCGATGACAGCGTGCTGCTGCAGACCACCATCACGCTGGCGGAGGTGGCGCCTAAGCTGCTTCGGCCTCAGCTGGACACCATCATGCAGCTGTGCATCAAGGTCAGGGCCGCCTCACTGGCTGGGTCTCGGAGGTGTGTCGTGTCTCGCGGTGTGCGGGGCAGGCTGGGGGCTGGCAGCGCAGCTCGGGGTAGCTCCGTCGGGAGAGCCCCTGCCAGGTGTGGTGTGCCGCGCGGTGTGCGGGGCAGGCTGAGGGCTGGCAGCGCAGCTCGGGGTAGCTCCGTCGGGGGAGTCCCCGCCAGGTGTGGTGTGCCGCGCGGTGTGCGGGGCAGGCTGGGGGCTGGCAGCGCAGCTCGGGGTAGCTCCGTCGGGAGAGCCCCCGCCAGGTGTGGTGTGCCGCGCGGTGTGCGGGGCAGGCTGGGGGTTGGCAGCGCAGCTCGGGGTAACTCCGTCGGGAGAGTCCCCTCCCCCGGCGCTGGATATCTCGGTGCTAATTCGAGGCTGGGAGAACCGTATATCTGAAACCATTCATAAGCCATACATGGGCGGTATGAATTGCCCTGTCAGCACAGCAGTTACAATTAGGATTTTCATCAGCGTGTGGGTGAAGAGGTGACGTGGGTATTTGCATTCTCATCAGTGTGTAGGTGATGAGGTGGTGTGGGTACTTGGATTCTCATTAATGTGTAGATGATGAGGCGACGTGGGTATTTGGATTCTCATCAATGTGTGGTTGAACAGGGTGGGTATTTGGATTCTCATTACGAGTAGGTGAAGGAGTGACGTGGGTATTTTGACTCTCATCGATGCGCAGGTGAAGGGGTGGCTTGGGTGTTCGGATTCTCATTATTGGGTGGGTGAAGAGGTGGCGAGGGTGGTTTACCCTTTTTAGATGAAGAGACTAGACAGCAATAAATGCCACGCTCTTCGAGGTTTACCCAGTTATTGCAGGTATAATTGCATGAGTGTCGAGGCATCATAATATCAGCAGCAGTTAGATTGTGTAGAAGTTGGATGAATACCACAAATAGCTTTATGTCACCTCATCCGGCTTGCTGTTGGTAACACCACCTCATAGGGACTCATTTCTAAGACATTTGGCCTCTACGCAGTTATGTTATGCATTTACGCATTAAGCCTCTTAGCCTCTATTCCCTGGACTGGAATCGTCATCTCCAGATTGAAGCCTTTATGGCGTTGACGTGGCAACGGAGTTACCAAGCTGTGTACACTTAATTCCGCGTAGCTGACGTCTGAACGTCCGCCGACAGTTGATGAGCGACCCCAATCAGGAGGACGACTGGCGCCAACTGGGCATGGAGATCATCGTCACGCTGGCCGAGGAGGCGTCCGCCATGTTCCGCAAACACTGCGCCGGCTACCTGCCGGTACGTGACCCCGGTGGGGCCCTGCCTGCTGTCAAGTTACGGTCCGGTGGTGAACATTGACACTGCTCTGATCTCACCTGGAAGGTGCCAACTCGTCCGGCTTTGCTTAGAATCGCTGACGAGCCCTGATTCTGTGCTGGCCTGCGCGTCTTGCCCCCCCCCCCCCCCCCCCCCTGTGTCGGGACCGTGCCAGCACTGCTGCACCGATCCGCCCGTATCACCAACAGTTGTGCGATAGCTGTGGTTCGAGTGCAGCACTCTGACTCAAAGTCGTGGAGCTTGAAGTCTAGGATTAAGGTGCCTCGATTCCAGCGTAAGAAGTGATTGTCTCAGGTCCCGACGTAAACTTACTGGCAAGAGTTGCTCTCGAGCTGCCACTGGCGCTATGGCAATTTCAGTGACCTCCGCGTCGCTGCCAGCTCCGCGCTAATGGGGCACGGGCGTGCGGGTTTGTGCGGCGCGCGGGTCGAGGTCTGGACTTGACGACGGGGCTCTGCCGTCCCCGGCCAGGTGTTGGTACCCGAGATGCTGAAGATGATGTCTGAGATTGACGACAGCGTGGACTGGGCCACCACTGACGACGGCAGTGACGAGGACTCGGAGAGGTGAGCAGGTTCTGACCTCGGCCGGCTGTGACCACGGGCGCGGCGCCCAGCGCCAGTGGACCGAGGTCGCTTGTCAGCAATGAGACGCATTCACGCCCCCCAAACACCAGGTGATATTACTCGCTCTTACGTTTCATGAAGCATTGCAGCACGGAATGTGTACCTCAGACATGCCAATTGCGTGGTTTGTTATCCGCATTGTGTGGATCATCGCGCAACCCGGTGCTGATTTGCTAGCAACGGCTCAGCTCTCTCGAGCATGACTGCGTCGCCAAAGTACACTGCATGCGCGTTGTCCTGACTGCATTGGCACGTGTTGAGGCTGGCGATTCTCGAGTAGCGGGTTAAGCAGGTGAAGGTTTAGGGCGATCCGGTGGCGGCCGTTCACCATCGCGTGAGAGCTACAGCACCGCTCATTCTGAGGTCATCGGCGTCAGGCTGGCGCGAGCCGGTCGACCCGCTGACCACGCCTGCATCACCGCTTCGGTGAACTTGTCTGTGTGGTGTTTGTGATTAATGATGGCGGCCCATCGGCGGCGCCGGCGGCCGCGGAGTATGCGACAGTCACAGGCCAAACAAGCAGGTTGTCGCTACGCTGGCGCCACACATCCGCTCGCTCTCCCCTGACGTCACGCCGCACTGGTGACGTCATGAGAGCGCGCGGCCGGCCGTCGGCGGGCGTCTGAGTGCGGCTGGGGCCCTCGTCGTGATCATGACACGGGGCGCCGGAAGCGCGCATGCGCGCAGTGGCGGTGACTGGTTCGGCGGGCCGGAATCCCTCGATGGAGGCGGCGTGGGTGGCACGTGGTGGGGTCTGCTTGTCACTTGGCACCCGTGACGTACTGCGCGAAAGGATGGCTTGCTGACATCAGGGCAGGAATACACGCGGGGGGTTGGGGCTGGTTATAACGATAGCTGTACCGCATGGTGACGTGGTTTTGAATCAGATCGGAACATTTCGTGTGGTTGCGGTATTCGATTGTTCTGGTAGACATGTTCGAATATTCCACTCAAAGAATTTTAATTTTGACAGAATCCGAAATGTGTGTTGAGATGAACGCATGTTCTGTGCGGCGCACTTAACTGCATTTTGAATTGTGTTGTGGATTTGGAGCTTTGGTTCAAACAGAAATCGTTACAAAAGGTTGGTACAGGATATTACCTCTTTCTTGGATTATTTAGGTATAAATGACCGAGTCCAATGGAAATCATTTGAAGTACACAATGCCGGCACTGGTCGTGAATCGTGTGGCGTATCTCACTTTTCAACTATTTGGATCTTGCGCCTTAACAGTTGTGCTCCGTAATGTTTTTGTGCAATATTTTTGCCATAATATTTCTGGGCATTGTTGTTTTCAACGTGGGCGACATGGGCGTATGGTATAGCAATGTTGTTCGAGCATTGTGATGCAGTCCGGTCTCCTGGGGGCTCGGACAGCGTCGGTGAACGATAATTATTTGCTACATCGCCTCCGTGGCAAGGGTATCACAGCGGACTGTTCGTTAGGGCAAAGTTGCGATTTTTCGGAATCCTGTGGTGCTTCCGCATTCAATGTTTCGGAAGATTCAAGCAAATATTCGAAAAATCCTATTCGGATTGTTCAGCTTGACTCTGAACGCCCTGTTCAGAGCGGATCATGACCGCAGTTATCTTGTTGACTCTGAACGCCCTGTTCAAAGCGGATCATGACCGCAGTTATCTTGTTGACTCTGAACGTTCTGCTCAGAGCGGATCATGACTGAACGCCCTATTCAGGGCGGATCATGGCCGCAGTTGTCTTGTTGATCTCTATTCGGGAGCATCCACTACCCTGTATTCTCTGTGAGAACGTTCTCCCTAGTGGCCTCCGCCCGAGTTCTGCTTTTTCCAGAAATGACAACGGTATGTCAAACGATCACGCTTTGCTGGCGCTGTTGCAGACACGCAGCTGTCTTGTGAATTAGCTGTTGGCGCAGCTGTCGTGTCGTTACTGGCAGTGGTGGCCGCTGTTGACTCCCGGCGCAGTGTCGTTACCGGCAATGGTTAGCTGCTGTTGGCGCAGCTGTCGTGCCGTAACTGGCAGTGGTTGGCCACTGTTGGCGAGCTGTCGTGCCGTTACTGGCAGTGATTGGCCGATGTTGACTCCCGGCGTCGTGTCGTTACTGGCAGTGGTTGGCCGCTGTTGGCGAGCTGTCGTGCCGTTACTGGCAGTGGTTGGCCGCTGGTGGCGAGCTGTCGTGCCGTTACTGGCAGTGGTTTGCCGCTGTTGGCGCAGCTGTCGTGTCGTTACCGGCAGTGGTTGGCCACTGTTGACTCCCGGTGCCATGTCGTTCCAGTAACTACATCGTGGCCGAGTCGGACTTGGACCGGTTGGCGTTCGGTCTGGGTGGCAAAGTGATGACCAACCTGATCCTCAGCAACGTGCAGCACCTGCTGGTGTCGGCCGAGTGGAAGCACAGGTGAGTGGCGCTTGGCAGCGATGTTGGCGCCGCCCCGGCCTGGCCGGCTCACGGGTCTGGCCAACTGACGGGCCTGGCGTCCTGGCCAGTTCTCCGAGCTCCTCCTCCCGCCCTTGCCTCCGGGCCGAGATGCCGTCTGGTTCGTGGCCACAGTAGTCAGTGGATAGGTCTGGTAGAATGACACTACCATCAGATGAACGGCCACATTTGTGTTGTAGATTTTATTTGCATTCATGTTTATTCAAACGGAACTCGTCTGCTGGACCCAAGAACACTTCGCTTAAATTGGGTGGGCAGAGTCAGTGTACGATGCTTCACATGACATACTCGTTACAAGTGAAGTTTTCGTGCACCATGCCTCGGCTCCAAGAGTAGTCAAAACTATCCGAGCATTATTCTACCAAAGCTTCTGTTGAGTGGGGCCCGTGATTGTGCCGCACCGTGTCCGTGTCGTGCACAGCTGGTGCCAGCGTACCACCACTTGCCGTGTGTTATGGCCAGCGCGCGTGTCTGTCAGCGGTCTGCCTTCTGAGCGGCCTGCACCGCGCTCGCAGGCACGCGGCTCTCTCCGCCGTCTCCACCATCGGTGAGGGCTGCAAGAAGCAGATGGAGCCTGTGCTGCCGCAGATCCTCTCCGGAGTCGTCAATTTCCTCAAGGACCCGGTGAGGGAGATACATCGCTTTTGGCTTTCCGAGGCCGTTTCTGTATACGTGGCTGCTTCCCGAGGCGAGGCGGGCTAGTGAACCGCCCCGTAGACGCGGGCGACCCACTCACCGATCGAAACCCGCAGATAAAACACGCACACAACGCGTGCGTGCATGAGTGGCTCACTTCTCAGCCATTGAGACGATTTTTCGCCATTATGATATATGCCATAGATCGTTTACGTAGATTTTGAGAATGGCCTGTGCGTGGCATCTAAACGATGCGACACATGCCTGCCGTGCCAGTGGCCTTCGCATGGTCGTCAGCTGACCGGCTCCATTGCACGTGCGTCCCATTTGACACGGCGCTCCGTAACTGTCTACTGTTCCCCGTGGCTACGTATTTGACCAGCCACGGCGCCTCTCGGCGTCGGAGGTACGCGGGCGGGCCGAGCGGTCACGGCGGCTTCGGTAGTGCGCTGCTGCTCCGCGCGCGCGCGCGCGTGCGTGTGTGTCTGTGTGTCTATTGGACGTGTTCAGACCGCGCCGCCTGCTGACCGTGGCCCGTCTCGGCGCCGCCGCAGCACCCGCGGGTGCGGCACGCCGCCTGCACATGCATCGGCCAGATGTCGGAGGACTTCGCGCCGTCGCTGCAGCGCAAGTTCCACGCTCAGGTGGTGCCCGGCCTGCTTTGTGCGCTCGAGGACTCGACGACGCCGCGTGTCCAGGCGCAGGCCGGTGGGTGCACGCGCCGGCCGGCCGCGTGGCCGGTGCCTCCGGCTCGCGCGGGCCCGGGCGTCAGCGGCCAGCCCGCGGGCGCCGACACGCCTTTGTTACACGCCAGCGGCACTGGCAGCCAACCGTTAACGGCTTGTGAACGCCGCGGTGGAGTAGCTCGCTGTCGGGCCTGTTGATGTTACAGGTGGCTGACCGCGGGGATGGGTTCGCTTCTACATCTGGGTTGTGCGCCGTGTGCAGGTGCAACACGTGTGTGCTAAAGGATCGTGCCGGATGCATCCAGATTTAATTTGCGCATCAATGCAGTTCAAATTTAATTTGCGCATCCTGGGTATTTGGTAAAAGAAGCCGGTCACATTTGGACTACACAATGAATTTACCACATGCTTGGTTATCACGGTTAAGATGGCATGGATATTATTACATACATTACGTTATATCAACAAATTATTGCTCAGACGCTTTCATTAATTTTGCTGGTCTTCTCGACAGCGCATGTTAAACTCGCTACTACGAAAAACTGTTTTCGGTCTAGATGCCACTTTTGTAAGTGCAATAGCATTTACAGTTTTGGGCTAGGGTCATCGTTAATTTAGTCGAAGCTGGTAAGGACCGAGTTGGAATTACCTTCTTGCTTCTTTCGTAGCTTACGGTGGCGCCGTTGACCCGCTGCACCGCATGCAGAGCACATAGGGTTAGCTCATCCAGATCGGTCCCCGCCTTTTCCGGTCTTCTGTTAGTGTATCGCGCCGTACGGAACGCATCTGTGAGCTCCGGGCGAGCCTCGTTGGTTCAGCAGCTGCCGGCAAGCAGCACCACCTGGCGCGCGCCGCAGGTCGCAGACGGTGCACGCGTCGCGGGTGACGCTGGCGAGCACGGGCCGGCGCGGCGAGAGCTATTTCTGCGCGGTGATTACAGCTGATGGGATTGTGTCCCCGTCAACAAACCGGTCCAGCTGCACACATCTGCGGCAGCCACCCGGTGTTAGTTTTGGTAGGGTGTAGGGGTGTGAGCGATAAGGTTGTGGTCTGTGGGGCTTTGCGCTTGCTATGCCGCCGAATTAGTGTGATACGTTGTTTGTTTTGCGCCGCTTAGCGGTTGGAAGCCGTGCGTTCGTTACCCCGTGCTTGCTTGTAGATGTGTTGTACAGTTGTGCAGTGTCTCTGTGTTGTTTTGTCTGGTGGGAAATTGGTGCTCTAGGGTACACAATATCTTGCGTAATAGATCCCATGTGCTCTAGTGCACAGTAGACCCGCTGCCTTCTTGCTGACTCTAATTTGTCCTAGTTCTGATCTTGATGACTCTGCTTTTCAGCCTTGGCTTTGATCAACTTCAGTGGGCAGTGTCCGAAGAGCATTCTCACAAACTACCTAGATGCCATATTCGTCATTCTTGAACAAATTCTCCAGAATAAACTCAAAGAGGTGAGGGCTGCTATCAGCTGAAGCTGAAGTTGAACAGTTAAAGTTACAAAATTATTGCGAGGCGAAAGATGGGGATTTTAGCTGAGATGGCCATGATCGCGCGTGTCGAAATCTGTAAACTAAACTGCAGCGAACGGTGAAATCCATAGCAATTGATAACCAATGCACATAACGTAAAGAAATAACGCGACCCCACCAGGTGAGCCACAGGCGAATCCAAGTCGTTCGATGACGCTGGAAACAGGATGAACGTACTCTTGGCTCGCTGCTGTGCCCTTCGCGTCAGAAAAGCTCCACGGACGGGGTCAATTGTGGTTGAGGAAACTTTGCGTAAGTCAGTGTCAGTGAATAGCGAGATGCAAAATGAACTGAGTCATTAAATGAAGTGTAAGAAATGAGCTAATTCACCGCATTAAGGATTCGTCCGAGCGATTAGCTCCAGGTTGCGTTATTTGCTGTCCCATTTTTAGCATCTCACTGCTCAAAATAAAGAGGCGAGAGTGCGTTCTTGTCAGCTCGTTTTATAGATAATTGTCACTGAAAATATCAACTAGAAGCTCCGTCGAACCCTAGCATAGCATACTCTTAAGAAAAACTTATCCCAGAACACTTGGCGCGACAGTCGTTCATGAAAGCTGCGGTTATCACCGCAGAACTTGCCTTACGTCATCTTGCGACGTTGCGAACGTCCCAGCATATCTGACATTGAACACGACTTGTTTAACTGTAGGTACGCACAAATGACTTAAGGGACATGCTTGCCATTGGTGGCTGTTTTGTTTTGATGCGAGGAACTTGCCCGAAAATTGTTGCAAGCTGTTTGAAAAGAACATGCCTAGAATGCATCTGTTTGAATATAGTGGTCTCTCTATCGTGGCTTATCGGCGGCTTTTCTTGTTTTCTGTCGGGTAAAATAAGGCCCAATACCTGTCACGTGTCAGATCTGTCTTCGTTGTTTACAGCTGGTGGAGAAGGGCACCAAAATGGTTCTGGAGAATGTTATCACGGCCATCGCCTCGGTGGCAGGCACGGCCGAAGAAAAGTTCCTTGTTTACTACAACAGGTAAGTGCCATCTAGCGTTCGGGCGGGCGAATATTATTTCTATGGTGGCCCGGCAGGTGCTTTGGCGTCATTGTTTCCAACCCGATCACTGCTATTGTCTCATTGACCTCGTTTTCCAGATGTATGTCCTTGGTAACCGTGCAACCATGTGCTAGCCCGCACTTCCTTGATGTTTTTGTCTCCTAGGCAAATAGGGGAAGTCTCCAGTGTCCTCCACAGCATGCCCTGTGCTGACTGAAGTGATTTCCTTGGTTGACGTAACGGATTGGGTCGACGACGTCGAGTTGTATCGCTTATGGCGTTCAGAGCGTGAGACAGCGCCTACGTCTGTTTATATAGGCCAGTCCGGCCAATGTTAGAGGTCATGCACAGGACGTAGCTGAAATTGGAATGACGTCGGATTGTCAAGTGCAATTAATTATTCCTTTTTTCGCGGAATTGTGTCTGTACAAGTATGGATGAAGATTGCAATAGCTTTGTCTTGGCATCTACTTTCACTACTAACTCCATAGATGGTATTTTCTAAACTTGATAAGAAATATGTTCACTGGTGATGTTCTGGCGAGGTTCACTGGTTCCGACGGTAAAAAGTCAAGCGTCATTGTTAACTTATGGCTCTTAGGCCCTTTTGCTTTTGAATGGCAATAATTGCCATTCCAACACTCGCTTTCCACCAAGCTGTTAAGAAGATATCCATGCCGCCTCTCTGTACCCTAGGTTTATGCCGTGTCTGAAGTACATCATCGAAAACGCCACGACCCAGGAGCTGCGCCTACTGCGGGGCAAGGCGATCGAGTGTGTCAGCCTCATCGGCCTGGCCGTCGGCAAGGAGAAGGTAACCGGCCCCGAGGCGCGTCACCCCACCCAGTCACGCTGAAGGTAACCGGCCCCGAGGCGCGTCACCCCACCCAGTCACGCTGAAGGTAACCGGCCCCGAGGCGCGTCACCCCACCCAGTCACGCTGAAGGTAACCGGCCCCGAGGCGCGTCACCCCACCCAGTCACGCTGAAGGTAACCGGCCCCGAGGCGCGTCACCCCACCCAGTCACGCTGCGGCCGCGGCACACAGGCGTACGGCAGCAGATGTGACGCCCTGGGCAAGGGGTCTTTATTTGAACTGCGATTTGTAGCTGGCGGTTTGCCGTGTGGCCCCGCAGCGATTTAGATGCGTCGCAGCCGGTGATTGGCGCTAGTGGCGATCGCGTCGAAGCCGCGTGGTCCGATGTCGCGTCGACCGTGGCTGAGCGGCGGCGGCGGTCCCTTTCTACGCAGTTCCTGCCGGACGCGGCCAGCGTGATGGACCTACTACTGAAGGCGCAGACGGGCGGCGAGGAGTTCGCCAGCGACGACCCGCAGGTGCCCTACCTGGTCTCCGCCTGGGCGCGCATGTGCACCATAATGGGTGAGTGGCGGCCGCCCGCGGCGTCCGCTCCAGGCGGCTGATGCTGTTCACGGTAGGGGGCAGGGCAGGGGAATCCGTTATGCGGTGCACTCAGGGGGTCAGGTCGGCGTCTGAATGGTTCGCTGGCGGGACGTGCTTGAAAGCGAAGACCGTCGCTTCGGTCGACCGGGCGGGCGCCTCGATGATGGGTGGTCACTCGGGCCTGATAGCTACTGTGGCGGCAGGCGCGAGATCTCCGCGCTCGTGGCCTCCCTGGCGCGGCGAGACAGCGGCTGTGGCGGCCGTCATAATGTGCTGGTGGTAATCACGTGCTAGGGATAGGTACTGGGCGGTGACTGCTTCCGTGATCACCACTCTGGTCGGCGCGAGCCACTAGATTAAGCTGTCAGCATAGCGTGATTTCCGGACGCGGACGCCGTTTTTGTGCTAGCTTATGGTTTTGACATTTGTCAACCGTTAAATATTGCAGATACGGGTTTTTGAAATCAATTTAACCTCGCGACACCAGCACTTTTGCAACTCACAAAATGATCCTCAGAGAATAATGTTTTCTCTAAAATATCGGAACCCAGACATGGGTAGGTGCCGCCGTTGTTTGACTTGCATTCGGTTGGCCGCAGGTAAACAGTTTGCCGTGTACCTGCCGCTTGTGATGGGGCCAGTCATGCAGATGGCGTCGGCCAAGCCCGAGTGGACGCTGCTCTCGGACGAGGAGCGCGAGGTGCTCAACGGCGACCAGGAGTGGGAGCTGCACAACTTCGGCGAGAACCAGAACTTCGCCGTGCGCACCTCAGGTGAACACGTCGGCCCGGGACACGGTGGCCAGTCCGGAAGGGAAACGTGACATGGTTGGTGTGGGTTAAGCTTTGTAATCAAAGGGGGGCTTCGAAACGAAACGTTGGCTAGCTCAGTTTTCAATCTCATTTGCGAGAAACGGAACGACGCAATGTAATGAGTGATGCAGGAGTTCCAGCTACGAGAACCTAGCGGCCAGATTTTAATTACGTGCGGATGTCATTGTATTTCTCAAGAGCAAACCGCGGAAAGTTCTGTTCGCCTTACCCTTGCCTTGAGCGAAAGAGGACACCTCAGTTTGAGTGGCTGGCATGCAGGAACGTCACAGTCGGCCAATATTTCCCGCTGTCGCCCTCGTGGGCATTCATATGGCGCCACATTGGGCGCATCAGCGGCAGCGAGGTGCGACACTGCATGGCTGCGGCGCGAGCACCCAATGGCCGTGCTCACGTCGCCTACCGGTGCCGCAGTGCTGGAGGACAAGAGTACGGCGTGCGCCATGCTGGTGTGCTACGCGCGCGAGCTGGACGGCGAGTTCGCCGAGTACACGCAGCAGGTGGCCGAGCTGATGACGCGGCTGCTCAAGTTCTACTTCCACGAGGGCGTGCGGGTGTCGGCCGCCGAAATCATGCCGCACCTGCTGCAGAGCGGTGCCGCCAAAGGTACAGGCCACCCGATGGCAGCCGCGCACTGGCCAGTCATGTTGCGGCGCAGAACTTGAAATGGTTTGATGTGGGGGCCATGTCGATGTACGCGTCTGGCACAGCTGTGCCCCCGGCTCAGACGGGTGGGTGTGTGACCGTTTGATGGGCCCGGACAGGTGCCGAGTACGTGCAGTCGATGTGGTCCTTCATCGTGCCGGAGCTGCTGCAGGCGCTCAAGTTCGAGCCCACAATCACAGTCATTCCCGAACACATGCAGTCGCTGGCCAAGGTAAGGCGCGCTGAGACAATTCCAACAGGCGCATTTAGTGTGCATGGGCTACGGTAATATGCTAGTAAATTTTACGGGCGTATTACTGTAGCTCTTTGAGGTGCAGCGCGGTGGAGGATGACTGTACTGCAGCGCCCGGCCATATTGATTCCACCAAACTACATTGCATCATACGTATGGCCAGGAAATAGACTGGCGTTTCCGCACAAGCGTCTACTTCCAAACTACCAAAATGTGCCCACGTGACTGCGGTAACGATTCACATTTTATGCGCGCGACAATGGACGCGTGGTGCTTTCGATATCGTCACTAACAGTGCGCCTGATGTTTGCAGTGTATAGAGACGCTGAACTGCCCGTGCCTGAGCGAGGAGCAGATGACTGAGCTATTCAAAATATTCAGCGATCAGTTCGAGAAGCACTTTGAGAAGTCCAAAGAGCGCGACGAGAAGCGGCGAGACGAGGACTATGACGAGGTGCGCCGCCGATTGGCCCATTAGCCGGCCTTTTGTCACCTGTGGCACTCACACGGCACCCGTCCTGTCCTTGGACAGGTGCGAGGTACGGGAGGGGCGGGATAAGCCAGTACTGATGACCGGGGCGTCTGGATCTGTCACAAATTGGGAACAACGGGACGCACACCTCCTACACTGCAGCTTTGCCGTTGTTTTCACTATACTGGGGTGTCAGTTGACAATGCTGACAGGACAAGATTACAGCGCCCGTCACTACTCGCCCGGGTGGCGCGGCGCGTCGTCGGGCTGGAAATCTGCGGAGTTTCCACCTGCAGATGCTCGGTATGCTGGCGGGATACCATTGACGTGCCACTGCTGCGGCGAGGGTCCGTTGAACATCCCGCCTCGCCGGCAGGAGGTGGAAGAGGAACTGATCGACGAGGATGACGAGTACACGTTCATCATCTCGAAGATCGCGGACGTGCTGCACTCGCTGTTCACCGTGTACCACGACCGGCTGTTCCCGCTGTTCGACACGATCGTGCCGCACCTGGTCAGGCTACTGGTGAGTGGTGGCTACCGTGTACCACGACCGGCTGTTCCCGCTGTTCGACGCGATCGTGCCGCACGTGGTCAGGCTACTGGTGAGTGGTGGCTACCGTGTACCACGACCGGCTGTTCCCGCTGTTCGACACGATCGTGCCGCACCTGGTCAGGCTACTGGTGAGTGGTGGCTACCGTGTACCACGACCGGCTGTTCCGGCTGTTCGACACGATCGTGCCGCACCTGGTCAGGCTACTGGTGAGTGGTGGCTACCGTGTACCACGACCGGCTGTTCCCGCTGTTCGACGCGATCGTGCCGCACCTGGTCAGGCTGCTGGTGGGTGGTGGCCCGGCTGACCGCCGCTCCTTCACCGGTTAGCCCTTGCGGAGCGGTCGTATTGGCCCGATGGAATCACACTTATTATTTACTCAAGGTTCCTGGCTTGGAATGACTAATTTTGAGCGAGATTGCCGCTGCAGCGCTGCGTCGTGAAGTCTGCTAATAGTTTGGAGTGCGAGTGCTGCGGCGATGTGCAAATCAAAACTGGCTCATTCTGACTCGTTGCGCTTGTATTCCGGACTGTCGCTGTGGTCCCGATTCAAATTTAGTTGTGATGTCTACCAGGGAGGGGCTTTCAGTATGTTTAACGGGAATCAACGTGGATAACTTCGCTTACTTTACTATTAGCTCGGCCTGTCCAGTCCAGATGGTTCGAGTCTGCTGTTCAACACAAGTCCGAGTTAAGGTAGATTGACTTCATCTGTTAAGTTGCTGGGAGATCTGAGTTTTAGCGATGGACTGCGGCCATTTTGCAGGGTCCGGAGCGAGCGTGGACGGAAAAACAGTGGTCGCTTTGCATATGGGACGACGTGATCGAATTCTGCAGTCCAGCCTCCATCAAGTACTCACAGTATTTCCTGCAGCCCATGATCCAGTATGTCACGAACAGGTGAGAGCGGCCACTACATCACATACAGAATCGGCGACGATGCTGACTGAAGAGACCCCGCGAAGTTCATGGCACCGTTACGTGATTTCACGTCGTGGAGCTGAGTGATTTGCCCAAGAATATCCACATTTCAGTTTGTTCATATCGATTTTCAAATTCGAATGGGTGCCTTCCAAGTCATTCGCCGGACGTTGCACGTTTTAAGTGTAGCCGCGTGGCGGGGCCGTGTTTGGCTGCGTTGCTAGGCCGCGCGGTTGCCCCTGTGTTTGTGTGCCTGGGCGCTGCCGCTGCGCCGCCGCCTGACCCGTCTGCTGTGTGCACACCTTGCGTCGACAGCCAACCGGAGGTGTGCCAGGCGGCGGCGTATGGCTGCGGCGCACTGGGCCAGTTCGGCGGACCTGAGTACAGCAAGGTGTGCGCCGAGGCTCTGCCGCGTCTGGTCGAGGCCGTGCAGCGGCCAGACAGCCGCAGCGACGAGTGGATCAGCCCCACCGAGAACGCCATCTCGGCCGTCACCAAGATTCTGCAGTACAACGCCTCGGACATCAACGTGGCTGACGTGGTGCCCGTCTGGTTTAGCTGGTACGTCCTCCACCTACGACTGTTTCGTACCTCGTGCTGCCGTGCGTTTTCTGTACGGACTGGGTGTCTGGCTCAACGGTCCGCACATGGCTGTGGGAAGCGCGTGCCGGTCTGTTGCGACGCGCGCTCTACTCACCCGCGCGGTCCGCGCTGGCAGGCTGCCAGTGTGGCAGGACTCGGATGAGGTGCCTTACGTCTACAACTACCTGTGCGACCTGGTGGAGGCCAACCAACCGGCCGTGCTCGGGCCCAACAACATGAACCTGCCGCGCATCATTGCCGTCATCGCCGAAGCGTTCGCGCGGGGTGCTGTCGGCGCCGGCGACGCCACGGGTGTGCGGCTGCTCAACCTGGTCAAGCAGATCCAGGTGCGCACCCGCCGCCGCCAGCGGCGCTGGAGATGGCTATTTGCTTGGCTGCCGATGTGCATGGAGCTGTTGAGGGGAATCAACCTCTTCATCTGCTGCCTTCCGTCCCTACGGTCAAATGATTACTCGATAGATTTGCGGTAGACAGCAATGTCGTGTGTGAAGTGTAGAGTTACGGTATCATGCACGGTACTTGCAGTATTGGAGTGCTGGTGTATGGAAACTGAGCGATATTGACAACATTCAGGTAGATTATGAATGTCTGTCCTATCAGAAGTGACACGCTCTGTTGTGCCGGACCCATATGGAGAAAGAGCGTCCTATACGGCACGCTGCTGTGCCTCTCAGTGCGCACAGAGCCCCACAATGCCGACTCGCTGGTAGCGCGCGCCCCGCTCATCATGATGACGTTAGCCAAATCTGAGGGCCGGTAGAGCTCGCTCCCGCCGCTGCCGACACCTCCGAGAAGCCCACTTGTCTGAGGCGGCCCTTCATGCACCTTACCCGCCCTCTCCGCCACACCCACTAACCCGCCGGCCAACCCGCCCGCAGTCCAACACGGAGCTGTTCCAAGCGTGTCTGGCGCAGCTCAGCGAACAGCAGCGCGAGGCGCTGCACGAGGCGCTCGTCTCGCCGCCGGCGTCGCAGCAGTGACGGCGCCGTGTTGGAGGCCCGACGGCGGCGAGGCCTCGCCGGGGAGGCCCTGGTGAGGCCTCACCCCTGCGGGACGGCGCCGGCGGAAGCGCCCGCGCCGACAGGAGCCGGGCGGGTCGGGTCGGGCGGCGCCCGTACCGGCCGGGACGTTTGATTTCCCAGTGATATGAGGTGGGCCGACGCGTGGCCGTCGACACGCCGCACGAGTCCTGGTCACGCACCGTGTATTTCGCCGTTTTATGTACATACATTGGCCTTACGGCTAATACACTTGACTCTAATCTATGTCGTGACTTTATATTGGCAGGCTGCTGCGTGCGCAAAATAAATAATTAAGTATCTCATACGTGAGCCGCGCATAATCGCATGTCAGCACGGTCGGCCCCCGGTGTGACTGTGGGTTAAAAGATCGCCGTCGAACTCTCCCCGATTCCCATTGATCAACGCGGACGACAGTACCAACGATTGGGCATTGACGAGCCTTGGAAGACGTCACCAGACACGGGTGGCGGTGTGCAGCCGCAGCCCGCGCGAGCGCCTGGCCAGGCCATTGCTGGAGGGAGTAGCGGGCTGCTGGACTGCAGCGCTGAGCCCCGCCGGCTACTCGCACTTGCTCTTGACGGTGATCATGATCATGTTGGTGTAGTAGATCAGGTACGTGGCCGAGACAAAGACGGCGCTGGCCCTGCGGCGAGGAGGGAGGGCTGTCGGCCAGCCGGGCGGCACGGCAGTATACGCTAAATACATGCTGGACGGTGCGTACTAGATTGGTCGAGAGATCAGCAATGCAAGAGATGTCAGCTTATGCGCCGTGTCCCGAAAATGTCCCGTAAAGGGCGGAAGTTAGCACTTCTTTATCCTACGACTGCAACCCGTCTGCACTACAAATCGGTTTGGCTGTGCACGTCTTTCATTTCGACCCAGGCTGGTGATGGTGGGCGTGGGGCAACACTCACTGTCCTTCCTTGAAGTACTCCTTGAGCGTGTTGCTGAACTTCTTGGAGTACTTGACGAAGTCGCGACGGCGATGGTCGAGCGCCTGCTTGCCGTGCGAGCCGGGGATGTACGCCGAGACGCCCTGCACCGCGTCCAGCAGCTTTTTGATGGCGCTGGCGATCTCCCTGCGGCACGGACAAAGGCGAAGACGGTGGTGAGGGCGGGAACGCTGCCAAGACCAGCTCAACGAACACACTACATGGTTGGGGAGCCAGGCCAGCGGCGGACGCCAGTGCAGGATCAGTGCAGGACAGTGCTAGGATCGGGAGACCACAGCCGGATGGCACAAACACCCAATCAGAGATCACGTACTCCGTCACCTTCCGCTCATGGGACACCTGGACACTGAACAGCCCGGGGCACGGAACAGGCGGATGCCAAGGTCTGAACAAACGCCGACAATTCTGCGGGAGTATCCGAATAATCGGGCAACTACATGGAAAGGGCCCACGTGGCCGTTGACTGCGATATTGCCGTCAACAGATGTCTCGAATCCAGTGCGGCGGTCGCTGACCCCACGTTAGTATGCGGCCACAAAGCAAACGCCTGCTCTGACCGGGCCGAAAGTGGGAGGGGAGGGTGTCAGCACGAAACATTCAACATAGGCGGGTGGCGACGACCCGACAGTGACATTACGACCGAAGTGGCCGCCAATCACGCCAATAACGAGGATGTACAAAGCGGCCGGACGCGCCCAGATAAGATAGCGTCCCCGGCCGGGCCTGCCGCCGCCGATACGGCCACTCGGTGCCTGAGGCCAGCGCGAAGGCTCCGGAGGAGAGGGCGGCCGCAGCGGCGCAACTCACCGCCCAGCAGGCGGCGTATCGCGGCCGCGGGGTCTTAGCGGGCGTTGGGACAGCCCCGACATGCACCATTCTTCATGGCATGACTGATTGGCTTCGCTGATACGGCTTCGCAACAGTGCAGCCTCATGCAATGCTTGTCGCTGAATATGCGCAAACACATGACCGGCGTCCAGCGTGCGCGGCGACTACAGGCGAGGATGTGGTATTTTGTCCATCAACCCCGGAATACCAGCCACTCTCAGAAATCCAATCTCAGTTCTTTGTAGACGCCCACAGGGTCCTCGTTTTCAAAATACACCAAGTTCTAAGCTAATCTGTGCATTGCTTTACCATTTCATCACAAATATTAGCGTCAAAATCACGGCCAGTCCGCGTGCGTGCACTAACTTGATGGTCTCCAGGAATGTTTTCCGGTCGGTGATCTCATCCGGAATCCGACTGAGGATGCGTTTCAAGCTGGACGACTTCTTGTTCAGCTCCTGGAACGGCTCCTCAGTGCGGCTCAGCCGATACTCAGCTGCAGGCCAGCAAACATCACTCCCATCAACATATAACAACCATGCACAGTCTGTCGGCATGCACATTTTGCGTATTCCCTACAGCCACAAAAACTGCCAATGAGCTGCGTCTTTAAACAGAAAGATCAGCCACCCCCAGCAATGTGATACAATAGTAGTAATTAGGCCTGTATAATTACCAGATGCCGGAAAACACGTACGTAACCACGCGCGTGGAACGTACCACTTCCACTACCACACGTCAAGCGGGGACCAGCGCTTCACAACAGTGCGAACCATCCCAAGAGAACACTGAACACGGGACACCCCGTGGCCACGTCCATCTGCATGACTAAGCATTGAGAGCCGTCGACTGCCTCTTAGTCGCTCACCGTCGTTGTCGCCGGCCGAGCCCTGCAGGCGCAGCAGGCTCTCGTGCATGTTCACGCTGACGTCGGCCTTGCGCACCAGGCCCATCACCAGATCGTAGGTGAAGCCCGGGTTGGCCGCCTCCACCTTGGTGAGCGCAGCGCGCAGTGTCTGGGTGGCGGCCACATCCTCCTTGTCCAGCTGTGAACCGGTCACACACAGCAGGCTAGGTGTGTGCACACATGATGCCAGTTACAGGACCACAAGCACAACCATAGAGGTAAATATCTGAATCCTACTTGCACCCTAGCTCATGTGCATCATCATGCACAACACAGTAAATGATGTCATCTTTTAATGCCACAATGCCACCTCGAGCATTACAGGCTTTTCTTCAAACTACAAGCAGAAAATTTGTATTTTGAACCAATTTCTTGGTGTTCATTGTACTTTCAAAGATACCTATAGGTTTTGAAAGGGCATCTACCATGTTTGCTTGCACCACAATGACACCCTGCACTAAATTAGAAAGGAATCTGAAGGGTATGTTTCACATTTGAAGGTATGGAGGAATGCATCAGATATCAATCAGTGAACTCACTTACAACTAATGGTTAACTTTTAAACTGAAAACACCGCTCTAGTCACCACAATTTCTCCATTTTATAAATACACTCCTCAATATGACATTGCTTCATTATGTCATAATGGATTGAGACACAACATGGATTGAGAGCCAATTGACCTCATTATATCTGAAAATCATGCCCAACAATGCCACATTTGAACAACTCAACAGTTGTATTTTTCTTGGCCTGAACAACTGCATGGTCAATGGAATGACAGCATTTATATGATATTATTATAACATGGATTACTGGGGACCCTAAAAGCCCCCCCCCCCAAAAAAAAAGGCTGCAAATTTTCACAGGGATGCAGCTCTGAGACTAGGGCTTTTAGGTCTGAAGAAGGGCAAGCAGTTAACTGCAACAAATGATCTCCAAGATGGTAATTTCAGTTCAAAGCCATATGTAAATGTATAACATTCCCTTTAAACCAGGCATCTAATGACTGCTATATGTTTGGTCATGGCCTTTCTGCTGCATATGTAAAATAGTCTATGGTGTCAAACTTTACAAATGTATGGTAAAACACTGGAAAACCATGCCTTTGCAGAAAATCATGACAGCTGGCTTGGGGATGCAGATGTGGGCAAAAATGCAAGGTATTTGAAGGAACACGAGTCCAGTGTGTTTCAGCTCGAACAAGCTATGGCACCACCACCTTTAAAGAATCTTCTGATTTGTGTTTTACATCCTAGACATGCTTAGGCAGGAATTCCTGAATAAAGGTGCCACACAGCAACATGGGGCGGGTTCTGATCTGGAGCGCAGGCTGAGGGGACGCAAAATGCAAGGTCTAAACAAGAGCAGCCCCTTGGGCAACTTCACCATATTTGGCTCAACTAATCGAATGATCTTCATTGCAGCCATAGCATGCTCTTCAGTCCTGCATGTAGCTGTTCACACAGCCTACAGCTAAATCTGCGATTGAAAATTAAGTGCTGGGGTAAGAAATGGCATGAAGCTTAGGCTCATACCATATGGCACTGCTTTTGCTGGACAGCTAAAAATGTTATGCACAATATCACACAAAATGGGCCAGGCAGTGTGAATGCTTCAGAGCATGGGCTTTATCATGCATAGTCATAATATGCTGCATGCAATTATAATTGGTCAATTTGCATTGTAAAACACAGATGTAATGCAATGCATAGTGCTAAGGGTAATGATTGACAGAAATATGTGAAGTGGTTTGCCAAAAACTACTGGAGAACATCTCCCTCATCATCAAATGCCAGCCTGTGACTGATGCATTGCAATGCATTAAAGCACAAAAGCTGATGACCCTACCCAAACATTTTATTGACAAATCTGTTACTATTGCAGACTGGAATGTGTCCTGCCAAATACCAACATCTGCTGTAACAGCAATTCATTTTATCATTCTGAGGTACCTAAAACTCCTGAGAAGCATGAAACATGTTTCCCTCCACTCCCAGCTACATTGATTGTAAGCTCTATGACTGTGCATGGAAAGATACACAATACAACTTATGCTGGCCCCCTATCTCCACAGAAGTTCTGCCACCAATAAACTGTATAGCCTGCAAACACACATTCTGCCACTTGGTCTGTCTGTCCCTGAAATTCTTGTGAGCTAGGTTCAGCCTAAGTTCTGGTTCCCTCAAACTTTCAGAATTCTTGCAGTTAGTGAGCTTGTGGGCACTTCAAAGGCATGGAACTTCAAATGCATATATCATCCTTGAAATCACTATGAAATCTTTATGGCAGTGCAATGAAATGCAAACAACCTTTCTATCAGCCAAGGTGCAGGATGAGTGTGGACTTCCCTGCATCATAAATACTTACTTGAGAAAGAACCGGCCTTATAAGGACTGGCAAAACCAGGGAAGATACAGGTGAATCATCTCCCATGGTCATTTTTCTCTTCGCGGTTCAATAATAAGCAGCGCTTTCGAAGTTTACTGATCTTCTAACTGGGATAGAATCGCGACAACCCTTTCACAGACCACTCCGGCGCACACCTAATACCA